CTATCTTTATCATTCGTTGAATGTTAAGAAGGATAGAACGACGTTTGTGTCGAATGTGTCATCTAAAAGGAAAGCATACTTAAGTAATTGCTGATTTAGGCTGCGTTCCGTTTCACGCATATGCGCACATTCCCCTATAGTATACGTGACGCTCACTATATAAAATACGCGCATATGCCTGAAACGGAACGCAGCCACTATAGGTTTGTTTTATGTTCCTGCACTGGTCGCACTAGTTCAAAAAGTGTACACTAAAGCGTTTTCTGTTCCCAAAATGGTATCAGCGATGCTGTTTTTTGTTCCAGTGCAACAACTCAGTGGACGAGTTCACTAAACTGGCTGCACTAGGTCTGGAGCTAGTGCAAGCAGTACAAGTACACTAGTGTACACTATTCAGCCACAAAAAACAGAAATAAACATATATGCAGAAAACAGATATTGTCGTACAAATAGTGCGCAAGTCCACGACTAAATAAAACGGTAAGTATATGTGAAAATAATAACTTTTCTCAACTAGAAGACTTTACAATATGTACTATTTCAATACGTAGCATTAAAAATTCACATTAATTATTCCTTATAAAAGTGTATAATATTATATTATATTATTATTATATCATATTATTATATTATTTATTATTATTATATTAAAAAAATATGTTAATAACAAGGCTCAATAAATTTAAAAAATAATTAATACAAACAGGGCTACGAGCTAACATTCGTTAACATATAAAGGTCTTAGTAAATATAAAATGTCATTAGTTAAAAATAAATATAAAGTTTAATAAAATTTAAAAACAAACGTTTAGACCTTTATTAGGTCATTATCAATGTTAAAAAATCGCAACATATCGTTAACGATGTACAGAATATGATATTAAAAACGAATACATGTGTAAAATTATTATAAAATATGAAACATAAGTATATAAATTTTATACTGTGGGTATTTAATCTCACTCGCGCGCTATTGAAGACTTAATTATTTTACCCCTTCCAGATTTTCCCCTTATTTCCATTTGTTAGTTCCTTTATACTTAAGATGTACGGTTATTCTGATTTTAAATCGTTTTATTGTCAACATCTTGAAATGGGTCTCTCTTCGCATTATTCTAATTATTAATTATAATTGTATTTTTTTACAATTTTTTACAAGGTAATTGATTATTATTTAATTTAATTGTTACTAAATTAACATAATGGACATGTAGTTACTTGAAATATATTGTAATTTCATTGTAATTCGTTGCCTTGAGAATTGACTTTTTTATTTATTAATTGACTCTTACATTATTTTCTTTTCTTTACATTCTTTATTATTTATATTCATTACTGACACTGTTTTATTATTTTACTATTTTATTTAGAAATGTGGAGCTTTTACATTATTTAATGATTGCTTTTTGTCGGACTCTTTCCAATTTGCGTCGAGATGATTAAGTCTTCAATAGCGAGTGAGATTAAATATCCACAGTATAAAATTTATATACTTATTTTTCGTATTTTATAATAATTTTACACATGTATTCGTTTTTAATATCATATTCTGTACATCGTTAACGATATCTTGCGATTTTTTAACATTGATAATGACCTAATAAAGGTCGAAACGTTTGTTTTTAAATTTTATTAAACTTTATATTTATTTTTAACTAATGACATTTTATATTTACTAACTAAGACCTTTATATTTTAACGAATGTTGGCTCGTAGCCCTGTTTGTATTAATTATTATTATATTATTTTATTCCCACAAAAAAGAAAGAAGATTGCATCAGGAGGTCTATTGTTGAAAAGAAACTTATACGAAAGTCTAGGGAAATATTACACTGTATGTTACGTATACTATACGTATTTTCTTAGTTTTTTGTATGCGTTTCTTCTCAAAAATAAGGGGCTGCGCAGAATAAAAGGAACAGAGAACAGAGAATAAGAATTTCAACCTATCAGAAATCATGTACTATGGAATACACACTGTTTATTCCACAGTACATGATTTCTGATAGGTTAAAATTCTTATTCTCTGTTCTCCGTTCCCTGTTCCTTTTATTCTGCGTAGCCCCTAAGACCCCAGAACAAAAACGCCATTTTTCTTAAACTAGTACGTTTTCTATTCCTTGCCTGCACTCTTACACCCGTCAGTTCTGGCTTGCACTAGTTCAGTACAGTTCTAGTGCAATCCCAGTGCAGAGGGACAGAAAACAAATCTTATTAATCATATTTGATTATTATTAATTTATATGGACATATAATTTTACCTGTGGATCTGTTTCTGGTTTATTAAGGTCATAAATGCGTACAAGTTTTTCATTAGAACCAGTACACAAATGATTAGAATCAGTACTAAAGTTGACAGATTTAACTATATGATTGTGTTGAAAAGAATGAACTTCTTCTCCTTTAATTGCATCCCAGACTTTGGCATTAAAATCTGCTGCACCAGTTGCAGCTCGAGTAGCCTGTGGATTTAATGCTACACCCCAAACTGCTCCTTTATGTCCTTCAAACGTACCAATCCAATCTCCGGTGTCACCTTGCCGCAACATAGGTTTGCCATCTGAAAAATATCATTGTTCCTTATATAAAAATAATATTATTTACAATAATTAAATATATCATTGGTAAATATATGTATTAGCAAATAAATATTACACACATAGAAAGATATTTAAATTCTATTTCCAAATAATTCTAAAAATATAATTGATAATATACACTGAATTAAGAAATAGGCAATTTTAATTTCTTTAAAGCTTCAGCTTTTGCAAGTATCTTAAATCAGATATTATATTATATAGTACAATATTTTTTAAAATGTTTCTGCATATTTTATACCATGAATATAATTTTAAAAAATAAAAATGTTTTATTTAGATTGTATATTCTATTATAATAATGCAATATATTTTTTAGGTTTTAAAAGTATGATAATATATTTATCTAATATCAAATATATATTCTCTATAAAATATATTTATAAAGAAGAGTTAGAAAGAAGCTTAGAAAGAATTAAAATTGCTTATCATTTTATATAAAATGTGTTATGTGTAAAGTATAACTATTCCTTTTTCATAGAACATTTGTGTAATAATATCCAATGTTAATATACCATAGAAAAAAATATTAATAAAAATATATTACAGCAAATTTTTATTTCAATTAATTTCAACCAAGATATATCCATTTCTATTCCATTTCTATCATTGTGGATGAACTTAACACCTTAGTTTAATTTATTTTCTATCTTTTTCCAATTCTTAGAACTAGAGAAAGATAAAAATTAAGATTAAAATTAAATAAATCAACTTTTATTTCTTCTAATTAAATAATCAACTTTTAAATCAATTTTTATTTCTACTGGAATAAAGATTTGCTTTTTAATCTCGGTTAAACTTATTTTTTATCTTATTTTAAACCTAAGAATTAGAAAAAAGAATAGACAATTAATCCGTGATTAAAGTATCTATTATATAGTGACACAGCACGTTAATAATATCTTGTCGCATCCTTCGAATGTCGAACGGCCTTGCTTTCGTGAAATCGCGAATCGCGAACAGTAGGACAGTAAATAGACAGGAAGAGATCGCTCGACCTGCGTCCAAGTGAAGAACACGCGCGTCTAACCTCGAAAAGAAGCCTTGAGAGTGACCGGAAAGAATCGGGCCAAGGCAATCGAGAATCGAACGTGTGAACGATCAAGAGAAAAGAGAAGAAAAAATTGCGGAGCAACGCGACAACAGTTAGACAATCTATCCAAATTTCGCTGTTCTGTTGGTGGAACCAAGTCTCGCCAGTTACCTTTGCACGCCGAGATGAGATAGTATCCGGATTCAGTGACGTCGGAAAAGGCGAGGTGGACTACAGGTCTCGTGTGTCCGCTGCACGTCAGTGGAGTCTGCCTCAGACTAGCCATCGCGTCGTTTTCCGGTTCTTTGTGCCTTTTTTCTTGCGACGAGGGAAGGATGTTCGGTAGTTTACTACCACGACTTCCGGTAGTTTCAGTGCCTGCACGTCTCGGCCTGGCGTTATTGGGTGTACCGTCACGTTCGTAACGACCGTAACATCAAGCGTACAAAACACGACTCGAACTGGATGCGACCAGATGCGACTGGATCATAAAAACACAAGTATAGACTATAGCCAGAGAGAAACCTTAGAGAGGCCATGGCGGCCTTTTTCGCGTGACAGGCGAAGCCGCCGTACGCTAGCGGCACCAAC